CACCATGGTGCTGGAACGTCGAGCACGACGGAGCCTATGAGGCTGTGAAGGAGAGCCTTCTCCAGGCTCCGATCCTTGCGCTACCGGACCCGGATAGTCCGTTTAGCGTCGTCTGTGACGCCTCCGATTTTGCAATCGGTTGTGCTTTACGACAAGCAGACGCCGAAGGGCGTGAACGAGTGATCGCATTTGAGTCTCGCCAGCTCAAAGCTGCAGAGAAGAACTATCCAGTTCATGACAAAGAGCTACTTGCAATGAAGTATGCTCTAGTCAAATTCAGGGTACACCTGCTAGGCTCTAAGCCTTTTGTGATCTTAACTGATCATGCGTCGTTACGCACTGCGACACAGTCGCCTCATCTCTCTCAGAGAATGGTAAGATGGCTTTCCTTCTTTGCCGAGTATAACTTCGAGGTGAAGTACAAGCCGGGGCGGCTTAATGTAGTGGCCGATGCGCTCTCGCGCAGGCCGGACTACGTGTTAGCTCATGTCACGACAGTGACGTCGTCAGTGTTTGACTTGATACGCGGAGCGTATGCACAGGACGACATGTGAGTAGCGCTGCTACGGGCTCTTGGGAGCGAAGAGTTTAAAGACTCTGACAAGGAATTGTCTGGGCGCTTACGCGCGAGGCTGCATCGATACTCACACGATGGCGGCCTGCTGTACTACAGCACCAACTCTGAGGATAACCCTCGTGTAGTCGTTCCTCATGATGAGGATCTAAAGTATCGAATCCTCTACGAGGTTCATGATGCGCCCGTGGGCGGGCGCTTAGGTCGGGAGAAGACCTATGGCTCGGTGAGCTCGATGTACTGGTGGCCCAAGATGTATAAGTGGGTCGGCACCTATGTACGCACGTGTGAGACGTGTCAACGGACAAAGTCCGCGCCGAGCACGGCAGCGCCATTGGCGCGTTTGCCTGTCCCCAAGGGATGCTAGCAGTCCATGAGTATGGACTTTGTGTTTGGCCTTCCCAAGGATAAGGCGGGAAACACGGGTATAGTGGTCTTTGTAGACTGATTGAGCAAGATGGCTCATTTAGCGGCAGTGCCGGACACCATTGATGGTGAAGGTACAGCTTTGCTGTTTTTAGACCGAGTCTTTCGCCAACATGGCTTGCCTGAGGCAATTGTCTCGGATCGAGACCCGCGCTCCACCGCGAAGTTCTGGACGTCCCTCTTCAGAGTGCTTGGCACTCGGTTGGACATGTCCACAGCGGACCATCCGCAGACCGATGGTCAAACCGAACGCGTGAATCGCGTTGTGGAGGATATCCTCCGAAGCGTATGCGCTGAGGCGCCAAAACGCTGGAGCCAGATGCTCCCACTCGTTGAGTTCGCATTAAATAATGCAGTGCACGCCTCGACAGGCTACACTCCGTTCTATGTGAACGGCTTGGTTAACCCTCGCGTCCCATTGACGCCGCCACGCAGTGGCTCAGGGCCTTGATGGGGGAGGGATAGCCGAGCGGCTAGCTGATGTCAGCCCTGTTGCGGTTCGCAAGCAAGTCGATGACTTTGTCTCTTTGAGACTAAGCGTAATGCGTCAGGGTACGCGACGCTATGGCTGAAAGCCAAGACATGCAAAAAGAACATGCAGATGCCAAAGGAGGACGCAATGAAGAAAGGTTTGAGGTCGGAGATCTAGTTTTTATTAAATGCCAAAAACCTACCTACTCATGCAGTGTCTGCAGTCTTTGAGACAAAATTGAGACCACGGTTCATAGGGCCGTTCAAGGTCGTGGCCAAGAAGGGCCTAGCGTATACGCTTAACCTTCCGAAGAAGATGCGCACGCATCCAGTTTTCTACGTTGGCTTACTCAAGCCGTATCAGAACCCTGCTCAGGTGAGCGCGGAGGCGTTGGCGCCAACGGTGGCTGGGCCACGACAGGCTGCGCAACAGCGGGAGGCCGAACCACGGCGGGCTGAGCGACAGAAGGTGGAGGGGCCACAAGACGCAACAGCAAGTCGATCTGACCTTGCAGCTGAGCGACTTGACGCTCAAGGTCCGCGACTCGGTTCTGAACCGACTGTGGTTGTTCAAACCAGTCCACGCGGTGGTTCGTCTCATCGAGACCATCTGCAAGGCGACTCAGAGAGTCAGTCGTATCATGGAGATACCGGTTCAGGGAACCCACACGCTGCTCCAGCGCGAACACGTCGCTGCGACTCGCGACGCGAGAGTCCAGCTGAGGCTCGGCCTCCTCCTGCTCTGCTCGATGAGCACGGCGAGCTCCACTTCCATGTGGAACGCCTGATGGCGAGGCGCATGCGCCAGGGTCGTACTCAGTACCTTGTGAAATGGAGGGGTTATCCTCACTCACAAAACTCTTGGGAGTTTGAGGTTGTCCTCCGGCAGGACTGCCCTGACGTCGTCGACGCTTTTGATCGGGCACACTCACTGCCCCGCCGCTACGGCGTACGACCGCGTCGTCAGGCGCCGAGCGCTTCCCGCCGCTAGAACGCGGGGATGACAGGTCGGTGGCTGAGCTCAAGCTCCGACTAGTGGCTGGAGCAGCCGGCTCATAGGAATGAGCGGTGCTCGCAGCATGAGCAAGAGGAGGTGACGCCTCGAGGTGATGGGGACGGGGTCCCAGTGTCCGTCGACGTGCTTTCGACTTAGCGAAGTCTAAGCGCAAACGTCTCTCAAGACGAATATCAGTTTTAGAGAAACTTGCTCGAAGAGCATTGTAGGAGGGGAGCCGTCGAGCTCCCTCCACCCAGCTTCGGAATTGTGCTTCATAAGCACGCTGGGATTCCCCAGGGTTGAGAACAACCGGAATGTTCGCATGAAGGGAACCGGTTGCGGTTGAGCTGCATATGCAGGCGCGCCTGATACTTCTGAGGAGTTGTGACTTGTGGAGTCAGATATCGCTCTCGGAGCCGGTGCCGGTTGCACTTGCTCATCAGCAGTCGAAG